ACAAACCGTGGTTTAAAGTCCTGCTGGTTTCTGGATGGCCTTCTGAAAATACGCTTTGGCTCCACCACAAGATAAAGGCTTTGATGCAGGAATCGTTGAGGGGAATTCTGCGACCTGCGTCGACCAGGTTGCTAAGCTAAACGATCGCAGCGGTTGCTTTTTAGCCCTCAAACTGGTGGTTTTATGAAAACATAGAGCTTGAAAAGTGTTTTGCTTTGGTTTACTGGAATAGACTGTCCCAAATGGTCCTCTCCCAAACATCGGTCTCTAATCACTCTGTCAACCCATCTTTTAAAAACCTCCAGGGATGGTGCCTCAACCCCTTCCCTGGGTAGCGCATTCCAAGGCTTAATAACCCTCTCAGTGTAAAAATTTTTCCAAATCTCCAACCTGAACCTCCCCTGGTGCAACTTGAGGCCATTTCCTCTTGTCCCATGGCCTGTGACTTGGGAGAAGAGACCGACCCCCCCTGGCTACACCCTCCTTTCAGGGAGTTGGAGAGAGCCAGAAAGTCTCCCCTCAGCCTCCTTTTCTCCAGGCTGAACACCCCCAGCTCCACCAACACCTGATGTTTCATCCTTTTTTCCTTTTCTGAGCAGCATCCCTGTCCCCGTGGCTTTCTGCCCTTTCACTGGCAGCAAAAGCTCTGGCTGCTTCTCCCGTGCTTTGTCTGTGGGCCTTTGCCATGGGGGGATGTCACTACCTGTCACGCCGAGCTGTTGGCTCATCTCACTCCGAGTCCAGGCGTGGAGACGAGCAGTACCTTTGAGACGGTCACGCCGTTACTTCTTGCCAGGGAGAGGAGCACGTCGTTGGGCATGAATGCCCCACCACTTCTGCACGGCTGAGGCTGTCAGGTTGGCAGGGAGTTTGGTAAAGCAGCGTGTTCCCTACACGGGGATTTATCTCGATCAGATGCAGAGATTTTCTTCCATATCTTGTGCAGGGAATGCGGCAACGGAGAGCCAAGCTCTTTCGGTCCCACCGAGCGCTGTAACTATCTTTAACGCTGAGGCACTGGCGTAGCACAGATGTCCTTCAGTAAATGCCAGGCTGAGATTCAGGCTGGTGCCAGGGAAATCTGAAGTGCTGGAGCGTGGCCAGAGGAGAGCCACCAAGCTGGGGAGGGGACTGGAGAACAAGTCACACAAGGAGAGGCTGAGGGAACTGGGCATGTTGAGTTTGGAGAAGAGGAGGCTGAGGGGAGACCTCCTTGCCCTCTACAACTACCTGAGAGGAGGGTGTAGAGAGGTGGGGGTTGGCCTCTTCTCCCAAGGGAATGATGCCAGGAGCAGAGGAAATGGTCTGAAGTTGGGGCAGGGGAGGTTTAGATGAGATGTGAGGAAGAATGACTTTGCTGAGAGGGTGGTCAGGCCCTGGAAGGGCCTGCCCAGGGAGGTGGTGGAGTCCCCATCCCTGGAGGGATTGAAGAACCCATGTAGAGGTGGCACTTCAGGGCATGCTCTAGTGCTCGAGATTGTGGGGTTGTGTCTGTTTGTGGGGTTTTTTTTGGTTTGGTGGGGTTGTTGTTTTTGGGGTTTTCTTTGTGGTTGGACTCGATGATGTCAAAGGTCCCTTCCAACCACGAAGATTCTGTGATTCTGTGAAATACTGCTCCGTGGCCAGGGGAGTCCCTTGCCTGGATCGTAACATTATGAACATCCACACTTTGCAAACTGTTCCGAAAAGCTCAAATGCCTCTCTGCGCTGTGTGGGGGGATTTCACACTTGCCTGAGAAAAAGCAGATGGGGGACAGGTTCCTTTAGCAGAAGGAGGGAGAGGACTAGGGGGGATTTTTATGAACAATAGTTCCTGCTCAGTCTTTGCTTGGGTCACCTCTCTGCCTGTGTGCAGGTGGCAAGTGCCTGGATGGTGGTAGCTGAGGAAACTTAATTCCGTGCTGTGGCATGGTTCTCATGCAATGTAGGCCTTCATCTTCTGGAGGCCTCCTCTTCTTCTTTCCTCCCCTCCTTGTGTTGGCAGAAGAATCAAGTGGTGTTAGATAGAGCATCAAACTTTCACGTGGGGGATCAGGGGACTCTGCTGACGTGAATTTCAGACTTTTTGTTGCAAAAGCATTTCTTGGCTTGTAATTAGAGCAGGTCGTTTGGCAGCACAGTTGGTGACGAGCGAAACGGTTCTCACCAGGTTACGGCAGGATTGCTTTAAAGGAGCTGCAGTTGCCCTAGGGCAGGCCACGTTGAGCTGTGAAGGCTACAAACCGTGGTTTAAAGTCCTGCTGGTTTCTGGATGGCCTTCTGAAAATACGCTTTGGCTCCACCACAAGATAAAGGCTTTGATGCAGGAATCGTTGAGGGGAATTCTGCGACCTGCGTCGACCAGGTTGCTAAGCTAAACGATCGCAGCGGTTGCTTTTTAGCCCTCAAACTGGTGGTTTTATGAAAACATAGAGCTTGAAAAGTGTTTTGCTTTGGTTTACTGGAATAGACTGTCCCAAATGGTCCTCTCCCAAACATCGAGTTCAGTCCCCCCGATCCATAAGTGAGTAGTGCTTGTCCAGAAGAGGAACAAGGACAAAAAGGCCTCCTTATGGGTGCAAATTTTAGCTTTTCAAGTCTTACAAAGCAGTATACACCAATGAATGGAACTGTAAATGTGCCATTTTCTTACTTTCTAAGTATCGTGGTGGCTACAAGTGACACGGTCTTTGTTGTTTCATTCTTTTTGCTCCTCTTATTGCCAGACCCCCGAGGCACCTTCAGAGGCAAGAGTCCTACCTATCAAAAAAACGTATTTTGATACCGTTTACGTTGCATCACCCGAACGAATGACATCCTGTAAATTGAGTTAACGCTATTGATTGTGATGTTACTGCCAGGAATATCAAACACGCGCAACCCCGTTGCAGATGCAGTTCAGATATTCTGAGCTGGTGCCAGATGGTCTGCTCCCCGTCTTGCTACTGTTTTCTTTCGGCTACAGCTGGAGGATGATCCATGATTGTTATAAATACAAGCATGGACACGGCAAATAGCATTTTCGTGGCCACCCCGAGACTGTGTTTTTTATAGGGCAGCTGCGAATTTGGTATCAGGGTTGAGCCCAAAAGCATGATGTTGGGAAGAACAGACAGTGCGGTGTGGTGGGGCTGGGTTTTTTGAAGTTGCAAGCAAAAGTTAGGCCACAGGAGAGAATTGCTCTGCAAGTGCAGGTTGGGTGGAGAGCAGAGAAGCTGCTCCACTGACAGATTAAATCTTAGATGGGTGCAAAAGGGCTGCAGGCCTTGTGGGCCGGATTTTCGGACATGCTCGCTGCCCTTGGAGAAGATTGCAAAGCCTCACCTAACTTCTTCTCTATGTCCATCATTAGGGAGTTTGAGGTTCCCACTGCTGCTGCTCAACCAGCCCAGCTCATTCCTGGGACTCTTCCCCTTGGCAAAAACCCTTGTGGTGGAGGATGATTTGAAAGTGATCCATCACGTCCCGAATTTCGAGGCCTTCTGGAATGCAATGCCAGCCTGAGGCGGCTCTTCCTGTACTGCTTGAGTAGGGCCTAAAGATCAAGAAGAGATCTGTGCTAACCACAGAGCCTTCTTGGTAAATACAGGATGTTTTCAAGTCCTGAGACGGTGCCTAGAATGACTGGCATCTGTTCTTGGAGTCCAACAGTGAAGCGCTGTGGTTTTCCACATAGCAAAGAGTTGCTTCCTACTCCTTTTAGTCAAGGGGTCTTGGGAGTAGAGGGTGTGAAGATGGGCCACTGGGACTCTCCTGGAGCAGTCACAGACCCTTGTGGCTTGAAACACGAGTTGCATTCTCCTGAAAATTGTTAAGGGTCCAAAATGGGAACCGCTGGGCTTGGAGCCCTGCCGTAAATCTGCCCCAAACTGGGGAAAACAAGTCGTTTTCTTCAGTTCTGTCCTCATTTATTCATTTCTGCCTTTCAGGAGGGCAGACAGCACATGTGCGTACCACTTGTTTTCGATGCAGAACCATAGATGGCTTGTGTTTGAAAACAGTGCAACAACCCTCCCCTGGTTTTAATTTACATACTCCTGGGCTGACATTTGAAATTCCTGGCAGAAATGTGGCCACACGAAGAAATGGCTAGACCCAGACAGCATTGAATGATATATGAGATGGTTGTTCTGCCTCTGCCTCGAATCCATCCATCAATTAGCATTCAAAGTCTCTTTTGAAATACAGTCAGACTTTTATTACTGTAATACAAATTTGTGGTCTAGCACATGCCTTTTCATTTAAAGGGAAGCCAACATCTGAATAAACAAAATCACTGCACTCCAAGAAGATGCCAGAAAGCCCTGTAGGATGCTTTTCGTGGGCTTTAGGGTAGGCTCCGGGAGTTTCCTGGTATATAACCTACAGACCTCAGCTGGGCTTTGAACAACTGCAACCTGTCAATGCAAACAGGTTTGCAGCAGAGCCTTGGCTTCCTAGATTAATTTTGCAGTGGCCAAAAATTAAGTGATTCAGCTCATCCCGTAGAAAATATGAAAGATATTAGGGTTTACTGGGTTTACCTCTTGTCTGCAGAATTGGGGGGCGGTGGGAAGGGAGATTTAGATTAGATATTAGAAAGAACTACTTTCCTGAGAGAGTGGTCAGGCCCTGGAACAGCCTGCCCAGGGAGGTGGTGGAGTCACCATCCCTGGAGGTATTTAAGAAACGTATAGACATGGTTCTTCAGGGCATGCTCTAGTGCCCAAGGTTATTGGTTTATGGTGAGGTGTTGAGTGTGGGGTTTAGTTGGTGGGTGCGGTGTTTTTGGTGGGCGTTTGGTGTGGTGTGTTTTGTATTTGTTTGGTTGGGTTTTTTTGTTGTTGTTGTTGTTGTTTTTTGTTTGGTTTTTTTTTTGTGGTTGGACTCGATGATCTCAGAGGTCCCTTCCAACCACTAAGATTCTGTGATTCTGTGATATCGCTGATCCCAAAGTTCTCTCTTCAAGTCAACTTGCGTTTGGGAGGAAGGCGAGAGGAAGGAAAGCAACCCATCGGCCTCGTGTTTTGTCTCCCCTGTAGGTGATTAAAGCTGTGGAAGAAGGCTATCGCCTGCCAAGTCCCATGGACTGTCCTGCTGCTCTCTACCAGCTGATGCTGGACTGCTGGCAGAAGGACCGCAACAGCAGGCCCAAGTTTGACGAGATCGTCAGCATGTTGGACAAGCTCATCCGCAACCCCAGCAGCTTGAAGACGTTGGTTAATGCATCGAGCAGGTACAAACTCAGGCCAGAGCCATCTTCTCTGAATACCCGCCCCTGGGGTTGAATTTCCTCTTATTATTTTGCCCGTGTGCCTCCGTGGGTGGACGTTCCTCCAGCTTCGTTATGTCCAGAGGAGTTTCCCCAAACCAACTTTTTCTGTTGAAATGGGCAGACAGATGAGCAATTCAGTTACTCTGCTGCTCCCACAAAGAAAATTACTGTCTTTCAGAAACAGGAGTTTCAGCAATATTTATAGGTCTGTGATAAAGCTGCCTGTGCTCTACCCCAAGGTTAGAGAGGGCAAGACTTGAGTGCATGAAGTAGATAATAAATGCCGCTCAAATTATCTGCCTGTTGACTTTATCCTGGTGATACAAATGAAGAGGAATCTCATGGGGAAATTCTTAGGATGGGCAAAGCTCATGGATGTCCAAGTGCATCCTCCCACAACTATTCCCAGGTGTGCTAGCCACCACCAACAGTTCTGACGGTCTTGATAATCGCAAGAGGATCCCTGTGGTTCCCAAAGAACTGTACACAAACCATTTGGTAAGACCACACCAAGTGTGGAGAGCAGCTGGTGGGCAACCAGACAGGAATCTGAATAGCTACATGGCTACGAGTAAGGTCAATACAGTCAAGACATAAAGTTGCACTTGAAGAAAAAGAGATTAATGTTTTTGAGTGAGTTTTAGCGTTGGGATCTCCACCATAGCGGAGTCTTGGAGGGTGAGCACACAAGTGTTGCTTCTGAGCCATCTGTGTTGCTAATCACTCAATCCCTTTCAAGGTCACGCAGGAGTGATGAATATAAATCATTGCTGCTTCACTGATGGCAGTGGAGTTCCCCTGATGAGCATGGGAAGAGACCCTTCAGAAAAGCTTATTCTCAGAGGATGAGAAAAAATACATGTCGTGTCGTTTTCCTTGGACAGGAATGAGAAGAGGTGTAAAATGAGATGAGACTGGTGGCGTGGACCAAAGCAGATGTGCTGTTGTGAGTTTAGATCCATCTGAGTCCACACCTTCTGAGAGTCTTGCACAGCATGTGGCCCATCTCACCTGCTGCAGCTGGACCTCACACCCCCATGCTGGCATGTCCCCACACGTGGCACCTCATGCAGTGGAAGAGAAAAAACATGAAATCTCTGTTACTTTTAAAATACAAGTTAGCTCTGGTTCCTCGGGCGATTTTACATGCATCATTTACCATCTGAAGAAGAAATTACTCTTATTAGCAATTAAATGTAAAGTCAGTCCCAGCAAACCTGCAGGAAAAAGTTTATGATAGCACAAAATATGGGATGTTTCTCTTTTATTTTCAGTTCAGAACAATCATTTTCCAGGCCTGTTAGGCAGTGGTTCATGCACTCTTTTATACCAAACAGTTATGCCAGAAAAGAAGCAAATAGGCAGCAAACCATTTCCTTGAGCTGCTAAGCACTTTGCTGATGTTTTGTTCCATGGACAGGTCTGTGCAATTCCAAATCTCTCCTTTTTCAGAGCTCTGGTAGTATTTTTGATGTGGATGGAGCCAGGAACAGCCAGGCTTTGGGACTGTGTTTCTATAATCATGGATTGCCATGCCCAGACCGTAGTAATTCCAAATGAATCATGATTTAAACATACAGCAGCCATAAAGGATTTTTTTATATATGTAATGTATTCTTTATGGAAATTCTCATTAATGCAAATAAGGGAGGAAGTCACTGTCTGCATTACAGTGTGTGCATATCAGTAGGTACCTCCTGACATTAGTGATGAAAACCCACTTCTTGTTATGATTACTTAGGAGTTTTGAATTCCTCATGTGTGTAAAATGTTATGGGAAGCCATTATGCTCTTGGTACTGCAAGTATTCACGTTTTATTGGACCCTTCAGCACTGCTATTAAATAAACAAATAATACTAATGTGCTCATAAAATATATGAAGATTCCTGAAGTGCTATAATAATATAACATCTCGGCTCTCTTTCCAGCTGAAGGTCTTTTAAGTGTAATTCTCACCATCAGGGGCTGACCCAGAAAACATTCTTTTTACTTGCTGGGTAATAATCTTTATGCAAGGCTTATGTTAGCCCTATGTCCTGGTGTATTACAAAGCAGGGGGCAAATCCAGTTGTCTTTCCTGGCTGACCTTGGACAAGCCCTCTCTGCTCTCCAAGCATCATTAGGAGAGCGGTGGACCCGTCTGCAGCACGGGTGGCTTGTGCCAGGTTACTGTGTCGGTGTTTTTGCAGCAGCAAAGGGTTATTACCCCAGGCAGCGCTCCAGGCTGGGGGCAGAGTGGCTGGAGCTGCCTGGCAGAAAAGGACCTGGGGGTGTTGGTGGCCTGTGGGCTGAACAGGAGCCAGCAGTGTGCCCAGGTGGCCAAGAAGGCCACCAGCATCCTGGCCTGTGTCAGGAACAGCGTGGGGAGTAGGGCCCGAGAGGTGATTGTCCCCCTGGACTGGGCACTGGGGAGGCCCCACCTCGAGTACTGTGTCCAGTTTTGGGCCCCCTACCATAAAAAAGACATTGAGGTGCTGGAGCGGGTCCAGAGAAGGGCGACAAAGATGGTGAGGGGTCTGGAGAACAAGTCTTATGAGGAGAGGCTGAGGGAGCTGGGGTTATTCAGCCTGGAGAAGAGGAGGCTGAGGGGAGACCTTCTTGCTCTCTCCAACTCCCTGAAAGGAGGGTGTAGAGAGGTGGGGGTCGGTCTCTTTTCTCAAGTCACAGGACAAGAGGAAATGGCCTCAAGTTGCACCAGGGGAGGTTCAGGTTGGAGATTGGGAAAAATGTTTACATGGAAAGTGTTATTAAGCCTTGGAATGGTCTGCCCAGGGAAGTGGTTGAGGCACCATCCCTGGAAGTTTTCAAGACGGGTTGACATAGTGCATAGAGACTAGTTTAGTGATGTGGGATTTTTTATTTATATGGCTTTCTTTTTTTTTTTTTTTTTTTTAAATCAGGTTTAGTTTTTTGTTTTGT